CTACTCAGCTATAAAGAAGGGAAACCTTGAGGCTCTTGTAGGTGAATGAATATAACTTGTGATCATGCTCAGGGGTAAAAACGTTCAGAATCACTTAGGTAAATAGAGGGTTGCCTCCCTAATCTAAAAACTAAAGGAGTTAGTGGGATACAAAATGTACAATGCACCCTGTAAAAGTGAAAGGGGAGGAATTGTCTAAAAAGGGAAGGCAGTGGCCATTGTTAATTTTCTATCATGATTTGAAACCCATAATGTTTTCATTGCCCTGTTTAGTTTGGTTATATTCTGTTCCAGTTTGTCTATTTGTACTAGATTTGATGGCATGTACAGCTACTCTAAAAATAGAAGGATATACTGTGGTAATCATTTTTAATTTTCTATTAACTTAATCTGAAGCCCTGTATTACTTTCACTGTCTTGTTTTGACTGATTTTATTTGAATCTGTTTTTTCTGATCACTTATTTTGACTGATTTTATTTGAATGTATTTTGTCTGATCACTGTCTTATTTTGACTGATTTTATCCGAATCTATTTTGTTTGATAGTATCCAATCTGAGGGTATAGGCAACTACTTTGAAGACAATAAAATTCACTATGATACCCATTCTGGCTTGACTATTATCTTATTTTGAAGTCCTACAATGTCTCAAATTTTTCATTTTTATTGATTTTGTTCTGTACTGTTTTGTTCAATTTTATTATGCCTGATGATATGGGTAATTATCTTGAAGATAACAAGAGGCATTATGGTAACCATTTTTGATTACTTTGTATTTTGGTTTTAAGTCATACATTATGTCGATCCTTTTGTTTTGACTGGCCCCATTTTGTTTTGTCTCATTAGGTTTTATTCTTTTCAAAATTAAAAAATAGTGTATATAACATTTAAGATAGTCATAATGATTACTAATCTCTCTTGGGTATTTCTATTTCTCATATATATGATAAGATAGTTATAATGGTTGCTAAATTCCCTTTGTTCATTGATAAGGTTTATGCTAATATTGTTTAGATAATTAAATTCATGTATCTTGTATTGAGTAACCGAAAATAACGAGATGCAATATATTAATCATTGTTATCACCTATTGTCTTTTTCTGAAGCTTTTATTTTTTCTCTTTAAAAAATAAAGGAAAATAAAAGAAGAAAACCTAGAATAGGAGCACATACCTTCATTTCTATATCTCAGCTGAAATAACCAATGCTTGGCAAGATTATCCCATTTGCTCAGTGGCCAACATCTAGCCAACAACAGAGTAGATCTGTCTCACTCTGTGTCCATGGTCTTAATTACTACACCATATTGACACTTGACAAAGAGTTTCAAATAGTAGGAGGGAGTAATATGATGCTATATTGAATGGAAAGTTATTCTGGGTTTGAAAATTTGTAATTTGTAACTACCTGAGCCCAAAACTATCTGTGATCTTGATGTTAAGATATTTGCCTAGATGAGTTCTCTAAAAGTATACCTATTGGACTATATAATCCTATGAATTTTCTTCAGTTAAGTCACTGAACCTTGAGATCACAGGGGGATTGTTCTTATAGTATGAACATTAAGTGGAACCATATATTTAAGCAAAATTGGCTCATGATTACATCATCCTAAAATAGAAAGGTACCTTCTTTTTTCTATCTTCTGCTCTACCTAATGCACATATTTTTGCTTACATAATGTTCACATAGGTGTGATGACTGAAAGTTGTTCAAGGTTTGGCTCTTTTAACCTAATATCATATCATAAAGCTTGTCCATGCTGCTGTATAATCTTTATATTTATCATTTTGATGACTATAGACTTTTATTTAACACTTAGACCTCAATTTATCTAGTCACCTTTTTTGGGGGAATATTTGCTTTGTTTGTAATTATTTAATGTTTTAAGCCATAAGATTATGATCACATTTTTGTACATATTTTTGTGGTATCATTTCTTTAGGCTAAATCCCCAGAGATGGTTTTCAAACTTAATAATATAAATTTCTTATTTAGGGAACTAATGTATGTTTGTATATGCAAATAAATAGACGATTCCCTTCTTTGGTGCACATAATGATAATGGTTATTTACATTTTTTAAACTGAAGCAAGTTATAAAAAGTTTATTGTATTAAAACAAGCCTTGAGCCTCTTTTAAATGAAAAAAGGAGAGAAACAGATAGAAGGGGAGAGAGAGAAAGGGAATGGGATGAAAAAGGAATTAAGATGTGCTTTATTCAGGTTCCAACTCTCCATGATGAATGTAATCATTAGGTACTGCAAACACGTACTAATAAAAATAAAAAGTTTTATGGAAACAAAACTTTTTGACCTTGTAAAAAAGAAAAGAAAGCCACTCTTTTTTGTGTTTTGGCTTTGGTTAGAGACCTACAGTTTCAGGTGGATGCTCATGTCCATTTGTGGGTGACTGCCTCTGGCCCTGCTTCCCATCTTATTTGCTTAGCAAAACAGAGCAGTGATTTTCATCTGCTACTGCACAAGTTTTGAGAGGCTGAGAAGCAATAGGCCATCTCAGGAGTAACATGCTTTGTGTCCTCAAGAAAGTGACTTTGATTTACTGTGATGTCTAGCTAATAAAGATCTTTTTCATTTTGTTTCAGGGACCAGTGGAATTTTGTCATGCCTTTGGTTTATTTCTACAATCTACACTGTGGTCAAAGTGGATTAAAAAATTTCTCAAAATGCTTCCAGGCATATTATCCTTGCTTTTGAATATCTACATATCTCTAAGAACATCTACAGAGATACATATGTATGCTCCTAGTTATATGCATTTCAAGTATACATAAATGTGAGTGTCATTGTCTGATCTCAGTTTATATGATTGATTATATGTAATAAAATTGGTTGGGAGACAGATTTCTTCTAAGTCATAGTTTTTTGAAAAGATAAAGGGGTTTAATTAAAGCAGTTAGAGAATGAAGGAGGCACATTTCTTTTAAAAGAAATTGAAATTGAGTACAATGGTTCTTCATATCAAAATCTTTTTCCCTTTTTCTTCCTTGTATTACTCAGAGCACCTAATTTCTTCATCAGAAAAAAATAGTTCCCCTGTCAAATAAATCTTATGTAAAATAGCCATCATTTGAACTGAAGATTATACAAAGTTTTGTACTTTTTAATGTGGTTAATCATTTAAAAATGTACATTGTTCTAACAGAGATTTTGAAATATCAGATACTGCTGTCTTACTTAGTTGAGCCCACTCATTTCTGTTTATTGGTGTTCTATTTCTGTTTGATGCCCGTTGGGGGCTGAGAATGTTCAAGACTGACATGATAGTGTGTAGATAACAAATCTTCGGGGCTGGTTTTCTTGGATTTATTTAGTTTGACTAAAAGACAGATGTTAAAATTTCTAAAATGTGGGAAATTTGTACTGCAAATATTCTTCAGCTTTGCAGTTTTCTGGGAAGCAGGCCGGAAATCATGCCTTTTCTGTGATAAATTTTATTGACAAATACTGGTCTCATAAGAGAAAACATTTGAAAAATTTCTATGCATACCTCCAATTCATGGGCATTCTCAAAGCTACTCTCCAACAGGAATACTTGTTTTTGTGTGGAGGCTCAAAGCGATCTTGTTGTCCTTGGAGGGGAGATTTGCCAGGTTGCTTCACAGAAGAAAAGAATTCACTAACTACTAGTAGCCATTTGCCTATATTGGAAGGGTCAGGGCTCTTGGTGATGACAAATGGGTCAGGGCCTAGTGTAGAGCCATAGAGGCAAAAGTAGCTACAGAAGGCCACGGAAAATCTACTGAGAGTAGAATTTTCAGAGTCTCATTTGTCATCTGCAGTCTCATAATACAGGCTGGGTCACTAGCCCTGCCTGAGAGAAACTACTATTATGAGGCTCACTGGAACCCATCCCATTCCCCTGTAAATACTCTAAACTAAGCAGTGAGATACTGAGCTTCAGGGAACTCTTTTTTTCTCTCCAGGTTTCCTTCTTGATAGTTTTATCTGAGCTCTCAAGCCCATTTGTTTGCACTGATAGTACTACTTTGCTAGAGAGGTAATTTTATTTCTGCAGCAGAAAAAAGTTAGTGTCTGGATGGTATCCGTAGATTAAGATGAAGGCAGCCACATACGGGTTTCATGGCAGCCATCTTTGAACATCTTGGAAGTGTGTAAACTGCTGTTTAGCTTGACTTTGGAGTGAAAAGTGACGAAGAGTACTTTACTTTGATTGAAATGGGGTTGCATAGCTCCCTAAGCCTCCTAGCTTGGGTCCATGAATACCACTTTGGAAGCATGAGGTGTGCAATTCCTTGCACCACTACTGATAGGAATAACAGAAGAGGAGCTCCTAGTAGGTCAAGTATTTCAACTCAGGAAGAACTCGGGGTTAAGTTTTAGAAGTATTTGCCCATCTCATCTTTGTGTACTAGGTTTTCTTATGTTTTGGCTGTGTTCAATATATAACTGTTTTTATGAAACCAGGCCTTGAGGAAACACATACGTGCTCTTCTGTTCTTAAACTCTGCTAAGCAGAGGAAGAACTGACATGAGTATGAGGAACTAGCCCAGGCTGAGCTGAGGTGTGCAGAGGGAAGTGTCCTCGGCTGCAGGACTATGTGGCAGGGACTAAAGCCCAGTGATTACAGGGTAGCACTGTTTCCTGAAACAAAGGCCTACCCTCCTGATCAAACCTCTTTGCCTTAGGAATACAGCTGGTTGTATAAAAGCTTCACAATCATCTTACTCCATTTTCCTTCTCTGTCACCCCCCACCCTCACTTTGAAATCTTATTTGTTCATAGAGGACCAGCCAAATGCTCCTCTTTCAGCAAGCCCTCCCTGGTGCCCGCTCCTCTATTCCACTGTGTGTTCCTTATATTGGAACATGAAATACGGGAGCTTTTATATTCATTTCAACCCTGTAATGTAGCAAGTTGTTTTTCCTCTGCCTTAATTCAAGCATAAGAGAAGAGATGGGAAACTAGTCATGTGTTTCCCTCACTGTGGCCTCAAGGATCTTAGCATAGTAACCAGATACACACATAAAATTAGACTTTACTTAGCATATTTTGAAGAATATACCAATGACAATTTACAGCACCTATTTAAGAAACACAAAGATTACTAAATAATACTTAGTTAAATCACAAACATAGATCTCTCTGCATTGTCCAAGCAAGAGTCCGTTATTCCTGTCAATACAAAAAAATACATTGTAACCATTTTAAAAAGGATCCAACTAAAGTCAACCAATATATGAAACCTCAGCCTTGGGCACAGTCTCAGGGACTGCTGGCCCAGGTAACAATATACAGTCACAAATAGGATTTCATTGGGGTGTGATGGGGTTTCTCTTGTTGCGGAGAGGAGGAGGATAAAGTCCATTCCTTTCATGCACCTGAAGGTAAGTTGTGCCAATGGGAACTTGGCCCCAGGATTGGGGTTAGACAATCCTTTAAAAAGGCACTTTTAAATTACAAATAGTATTTTTTAAAAGGAAATATTTAAATTTAAAATGTAAAGATTGTCTGAGTATATTTTTTCTATTCTCAGTTTCAAAAGTAGCACATAAAATTTGTTATTAAAGGCAGTTTAATGATTTAATAAGGGTGAATATATAATATAGTTTTCTCATTGTAATATTTTTGTCCTTAAAATATAATAAAATTATCTCACAGTTCTCTTGTCAGTTGCAAATATCACTGATATACAATTAGAATTCTCTAACACCTTAGCCATGACCCCAGAGGGGAATCATGGAAATCACCCATCCATGCCCCATTGTTGTCTCTCAGACAACCAAGCAAAGGGACAAAACCACAGCAGTCTTTTTCCTGGATTTAGGTGCTGCTCTTGGGGGCGGTGGGGGCAGGGATAGTTGCAACGTGGATCTGCTAAGTGCAAATCCTGTCACCTCACAGTCAGGTACTGGCTAAGGCTGGGTCTTGAAAGTGCAGCATTCTTTTCTTCTAGCTAGGAGGACTCCGACAGTCTATCCAGAGGTCCTTGATTCTTGACAGGGAAACGATTGTCTTCTTTGATTTTGCATTCTTGTACATTCAGTTCATGGAAAACAGGCATACAGGTGCCAGGTTTGTTGTGGAGAACTGCCAGCGAGGACGTCAGTCAAGATGATTGATTCATATTAACAACCAGTCAAATCCGAATAAGCTCTTGTCTGTAATATGCTGTACCGGGGATTTAAGGAATGAAAGGCACCACTTCCTGCTAGCTCAACTTTGAGCCATCTTACATATCTTGTAGTATACACTTGAAAAATAAAATTTAGAAGAAACAAAGATACTATGTTCTATTTCAGAAACTGACCAAGATGTTGGTCACACATGGAATCTGCATGCATTTAATTAACTAACTTTACATGTACATACTACTTGTTTTTTTTTTTACAATGACACTACCCACAAACGTACACAATCTAATATCTAGCACCTTATCTCCAAGAACACTTACACTTTATATACAGTTATAGCTCACATTTAGAAGAATTACTACAAAAGTTTCACATCACTGAAACAGGACAATAATACCAAACTTTTAACACTAAAAGTTGTAGCACAGATGAAGGGGGGAAAGCCACTCATGTTTGAAGCACCGAACTAAGATCAATCTTGTTTTTGACTATGCTTTAGACACAGGAATGAATCCTGACATAGCGAACCTCCTCTGAGTGTACAAGTTACTGTGGTTTCCCCTTGGTGTGTATACTCTGAGATATGGAGGCTTTGAGAGGCAATGATGGGAACACCTAACTCCTATCAGCAACCTTCGTTTGCCTTGAGGATTCTTATCCTACTTACCAAAGAGCAGTGAACTGGCCACTGAGATGGCAGTCAGTGGCTGAGTTTAGTTGATTTTAGCTGTCCTAGTTCTTCCTCCAGACAGTTTCATTGCTTGTAGCAGAAATGTGCTATAAGCAAGCTGGGCATCTGCCAGAGAGGAAGAGACTGTATAGAATTGGAAAGAATGGATGGCAAAGGCTTGCCTTCTTTGGGAGTTTTAGATCATGGTCTGTTATCCTGCTCATGCCTGTCTCTTCATGCCTAAGTTTGAAGGGGCTTTGAGCGGCCAAGAGCACCAGTCTAGCCCATAGAAAATAAGAGATAGGGAGGAAGAGAGTTAAAGCCACAAGTGACCATACTTTCTCTTCTTATCTTGCCTCCTGGCTAGCATCCAACTAGTCTTTTAATCCTTTATCTGCTTTAGAAGGAAAAGACATTTGGCTTGGAGAAACCTCTCCTGACAACCTGTGGTTTGTCTTCAAGAGAAATACAACAAAAACGACATTATGAAATGGATTTTTTCCTCAAAATATGTAACAGGGTAGTTAAGAGAGAAAATTTATAGTTCAGTAGGTTACACTGTTACTCTCTGTGTCACCCTCATGATCTCAAGTGTTTTAGAGATTTCAAATGATCAGAGGATGCGTACTTGTTTTCTCCTCTGAAGGCTGTGTTTCAGACACTTTTAAGAGATTTTTGGCAAAGCCTAAGAAAGAAGGCTTTTATTCTATCATTCAAATTTTTTTTCAGGTAGTATGAAAATTTTTTCTGAAGTAACTTTACCTAGTTTAATTGGCTAATTATATACAAAATAAGGCAATGTTAGGCACCTTATAATTTTATAGATGAAAGATTTTTGTGTGTTTTTGCTGAAACAATTAGGCGGCATCTATAGGACTTAATATGTCTTCATAATGTGTCAAATAGGGCGCTTTTTAGAAATGAGGTGCCTAGTTCCTCCTACTCATGAAGTGGCACTTTTCCTTACCTGTTGAATTTGAAGCAGGTTTCAAGTCATCTCTAAACTGGGTCGGAGGTGGGCAGACAGAAAAGTACCTTGAATTGCTGGTCACTCCTATGGTTCACATCCTTCAGATTCCATGGGCCCCAGGTCTCTGTGAGTCTCACAGCTCTGGGTTTGGAAGGGATGGACGGGGAAGTGGGTGAGCACAAAGAGCTTCAGGCACAGGCATTCCTGAAAGGCCAGCATAGCAGGGGCAGGGGGTGAGCCAGAGAGGACAGTGGGAAGGAATGCAAGAGGTAGGTAGGTAGCCAGAAGTGCACAGGACTTGCCAGCAGCTGGTATGTGTAGTATCTTACAGAAGAAGGACCCTCACCTCACAGAAGTCACAGAAGCCCAGGGTTTGCTCCTTGTTACTGCTTTGATCTCATTGAAATTGGTGTGTTAGTCACCTGCATGCAGCTCCTTGGCAAACTAGATGCTCTATTATTCTTAAGTAAGGAAATCATTCCATTTAAAATCACATCATTTCGAATTCTGGTTTTTCTGGCCCCTGTACTTTAATGGGAATTTTTACTACACATATGAAGTGGCCTTGGCAAAGGAATACATCCTCTGAAAACATTTAGGGAAACCAATTGCACATGAGGATCTGTGAAGCTAACGATGACTTTTTTTTGTGGGCTTTCAGATTTTGAAATGGCAAAACAGTATGTGCAGTAAAACCTCATTAAGATGACAGTGCTTTATTAAAAATACCAAAAAAAATTTGAAGTTGCTATCTTCAAGCTAACCAGAGGCCCTATTTATTGTTCATCAGGAAGAAAATGTCATCAAAGCAGAATGCTCTTAATTCAAAAGTCTTTTCCAGCATCTTACTTTTAAAAGGACTTTTTCACCTTTGAGGAATCCAGTTTGCCAAAAGAATGGACAGAGACTAAAAAAAGGAAAAGGGAAACTTTAGAAGGAATTGGTGAGTCTCAGCATCCTAGAGAATGTTACATATGCTGTGAGGTGGACTTACCACACTTGTACAGGCTCTGGTTCCATTTGGATTTTGGATTTTGGCAAACAATTTTCTGATACACTTTAGAGGGGTTGAGCTTTAAAAATAAAACAAGAAGTTCAGTTTCAACAAAATGTTGGAGACACTTACGCTTGAAGTCCTTTTTGCTGCCCAAAAGCCATTTTCATTAAAACGACAGGCTAAAGCTTCCTTGAACCCCTTTGGTCATGACAGTCTTACAAGGCAATACCCCTCCATCCACAGAGGATGGATCATATAAGCTGTTTCTGCACCTGGGCATCTCTTAAGGACAGGCCATTGTAAGAGTCCAGCAATAAACTGGTATAATAAATTCATGGCTATTCACTTGCTTCACAAATTTTGGTAGAAAAATAAACAATTTGTGAGACTGAATTTCAGCCAGAACACCTTGTCTGAATTACCACATGGTCCAAATTTATGGAGTTGACATGAATAGTTTCCACGGGCATCCTGATTTGACAGGTCAGCTGGATATTACTTAGTTTTATGCTATCTTTTTTCCCCTACATCCTGAATACAACAACCCCAATTTCTCAAGCAGACATATTCATAGCCCAAATACACTGCTGTTTACCCCTCCCCCTTGAGAAACTCATGTTGGAATCTGTGAGGAGGAACAGATAAAAAGAAATGTATATGAGCTGAACATTTATATTAATGAAAATTTGAGTCTTCATAAAGACATAGTAATCACATTAGAATGAAGCTAAACTCTGAATATGGCCATGCTTAAACAAAACCAGTTGGTTAACTATTTTGTTCAACTAAATAGTCTTTTTCCCATTTGAACAGTGGATTTCTGCATGGACATTTAGTTGGTTGTGGAGTTGCTTTAATTTTAATTTCAGGAGGAACAAAACCAGGACCTTTCCCATATTTTGGCTCCATGTTATTTGTTCTGTACCCTCTAAAATGGGTATATCTTAGCCAAAAGAGATTCAGGCTTGAGATGTGAAAAAATCTTTCTTTGTATTTACTCTATGGATAATTTAGATATTTATAAAGATTTTTCTCAGAGATAAATTTCATGTGCAACAATTAGAATATGTGTGGCCTGAATGCTTTGATTTGTGGATTGTTTGGAATATGGCAGATGTATGCTAGGTATTGTAAAACCATCCTGTCATTCCTCAGTGGATTACATTTCTCTCCTATATCTGATGGATATAGAGCTTAAAAGCTTTAGAGAAAACCATGGTATTGGTGAGGGAATGAAAATCTTCACCCTGCCTTACTTGTTTCCATGTGGAGATTTTTGCCTAGGAATTCGTGAATGCAAAAGTGATTTCTGATGGGCGTATGTCTTGATTGGCAGTGTGAGTGTTGCAGAACTTTGACCACTTCAACTCCATTTTTCCCCTCGAAATACTCTTTGACCAAAAAGTTAATCTGAAACAAAACAGGGTAAAACAAGTGATTGGAAGTTCTGAAACCATCTTAAGAGCATACCGATTCAGCCATGAAGGGTAAATTGGAAAATAGTTGCATGATTTCTGTCCTACTATTATTCAAATAGGAGGCAGAAATTATTTTCATCTCAACTGACAATTTTTCACTTTCATGGAAAGAGCTCAGTCCTAGCCCACATATTCCCCAGGATTTTAGAGAAAAAACTCAGCAGGTTAGCCCAAAGAATGTGTTCTTCATCTCTCCCCTTGGACTAACTTCCTTTTTCATACATGTCATTCCATTTAGGCGATCAAGAAACATTCTTGTTCTTGGTATTCTAACCACACAAGGCCTTTTGTGGTATTTTGCATGACAGTGTTTGTGCCCAATTGCAGGGCACTCCAGTTCACAATTTGGTTCATATGCTCATCAGTCTGTACCCTGGGCTCCGTGGATGATTGGGTCCATTGGTTTTCCTTCACTTGAACATAAACTAACCCCTGGCCTATAAGCTTCTGACCTGAGGGCAAAATAGTCTTTAAGTCCATAGGCATCAACTTCCCTCTTCCCCTGGGCTAAAGCTGGCATGTTGTAGTTCTGGGGAGAAAGGGAGAACACCAATCACAGGTCCAAAATAAATAGCCCTTGTTGCTTTACAAAATTTAGAGCCTAATAATTTTCTGGGGGAGAATTTTCAGTTAGAATCCTCAAGTCCATGCTTTGAGGGGCACACCTTAAGGGAAGAACCCAGTTCCCAAGGCTTCCAAGTATTTATCTACTTTGTGGTGGAAAAGGATTTGTGTGCAACACCTTTGCCTGAAATGTATGAGTCAGCATTAATGGGAGTATGGGTGGTCCACTGAAAAGAAAGCTGCTCTTATTTTCTGTCTCATGGACAGTGCAAGGTTTGCATTAGCACTAACTTCAAGGCGAAGTAGCAGAATCATGGGAGGGAACGATCTTGCCTTCAGTTCCTCGCTCTGATCCAGCTTCACTTCCGTGCACATCTGGGTGGCTACCTTCTTCTCTTGAAGACTTTTGCTTGCGGAACAGCCTCTTCAGCATATCCTGGATTTCCTTCTTGATGGTCTTGTGCATGTACCCATAGATATAGGGGTGAATACAGCACTGCAGGAAGAAAAGCCAGATTATTACAGTGATCACCCACTGGGGTACCTTGGTTTGGACATCTACCCACACAGCCAGAACTGCTAGGAAGCAGTAGGGCCCCAGGGACAGCACGTAGGAGAAAATGATGAGGAAGATCACTTTAGCGGCCTTGCACTCATAGCACCTGGGCAGAGGTGGGCGGCTGTTGCTGATCCGACGACTGGGTGGCAGGTTTTCTGGGATGTTCAGGGCTTCGATGTCACCCTCACCGAAGTTGATGTCATCCTCACCAAATTCTATGTCGTCTTCGCCCAAGCCCAAGTCGATGTTGCACTGATGGACCTCTGCATTTGCGCTGCTCTCCTTAGCTTGAGTGCCACCTTTCTTACCTTCCAAGCTGCCAACACTGACCTCCTCGCTGCCCATGGCCTCCACGATACACTCACTCAGCTGCACGCATCCTTCCTTCCCCTTTACGATGCTGTGGTTGGCTTCCATGGGGTCCTCTTCTGCCTCTGCGCTACTCTCCTTGGCCTTGACCTCACCTTCATCCTGGCCATTGAACTTGCTCTCTTCCTGGAACTCACCCCTCTCTGCTCCCGCTTCATACTCATTTTTCACAGAGTCCTTGACCCGCACCTCCAAGCTGTGGCTCTTGACGCTGTACAGCAGGGCGTGCTGCTGCCGGGCTGCACCGAACACCACAGAGTAACAGGCTATCATGACAGTCAGTGGGATGACGATGAAGGACACCACGCTGAGAACCATGTAGCTGGGGCTGGACCCCCAGATCATGGAGCAGAGGGCATTGCGCTCATCGAAGCCAGCCTGGCCCCAGCCATAGAGTGGGGGGGTGCTCTGCAAGATGGCCACAATCCAGGTGCCATAGAGGAGCATGTAACCACGGCGATGGGTCATCTTGGATGGGTAGGAGAGGGGATGGATGATGCACAGGTAGCGATCTATGGACACCACGACAATGGTGTTGACACTGGCGAAGGCAAACAGGTGAGTGAGGCTAACCAGGGCTGTGCAGAAGTGGCTGTTGAGGGGCCAGAAGAGAGGTACAGAGGTGGCCACAACCCAGGGGGCCACGAGAGCAATCTGCAGCAGGTCGGTGACGAGGAGGTTAAAGATGAATCTGTTGGTCACCTGCAGCAGCTGCGGCTTGCGCTGCAACACAAGCGCAAGGACTATGTTGCCTACGAAGGAGATTGCAAGGAAGATGAGCAGCACGGTCGACCTGATGATGCCGTGAGCCAGGCTGATAGGAATTTTGGAAAGGGGTATGCATGCCTGGGTGGTGGTGTTCTCCTCCGTGCTGTTGTCGCAGGTGGGTGCCATGGTGATGGCGGGCAGATGAGAGGCAGGGAGCCAACTCAGTGTGGGCACCGGTGGTGGGCAGCTCAGGGGTGCACCGCACACAGTGTCTATGCTGGGGATGAAAGAAACACATGGGCGGGGTGAGTCCCTTGGCAGAAGGTGAAGCCGCGGTGGCACCCAGCAGCCCTGCTGCAGGATCCCTCCCTTGCACCCTTGCGCAGTCGCAGCCTCAGCCCGGGGAGTTTCCCTGGCTCTGTCTCTGGCTCTCTGTGTCTCTGCCTTTCTCTCTGCAGGTCTCATTTCTGTCTGTCTCTCTTGCTAGTGTGCGCTCACACTCTCGGCATCTCCCACCCTGCGTCTGGAGTCAGAGTTCTGGTGTCTCTGGCTAGCTCTCCCACTGGCACATGCGCGTGCACTCTCTGTACCTGCCTGTTCACTAGCATAGATCTCTATCTCTTTCTAGCTTTTTGCAAGGGTGCGTTCTACCTCTAGGAGTGTGCCTCTGTGTTTCCTCTAATGTTTTCCCTCTGACCTCTCACTCGATCCTCTGTTTCTGTTCATCACTCAGTAGCACGTGCGCAGTCTGCTCCTTCCCCCCGTGGGTCGCTGTCATCTCCTTGTCACTCCCGCCTCTCCTCTGTAGGTCTTTCACCAGCGCACTTTCTCTGGAGCGGTGTACAGGTGCCTCCTTCCTTGTTTTTCTCCTAGTCTCTTCGTGTGTGACTCTGCCTGGAACTGTTTATGTTGTTCCCTAGTGTTGCCCCCTCCATAGAGTCTCTCATCTCTCTGTTCCTATCTCAGTGGATTTCCCTGCTAGTCATTCATCTCTGGGGGTCCCTAGCAACCTGCTGGCTATCACTAGCTGTAGGAGTGTCTCTGCGTGTGTCTGGGCCTCTCTCAGGTTCCACGGGGTCCACATCTACATGTCTCTCTTCTCCGGTCTCCCTCTGTGCTTTCTTTGCCCAGGTGCTGAAATTCCGGCTGCATCACTTTGGCGTGGTGGCCATCCCTGGTCTCTAAGCTGCAGTTAGTCTAACCCTCTCTGGCTCCCTGCTTTTCCAGCTATCTCTGGCACGTGCACTCCCTACTCTTGGTTTTCCTGTCTCTTGCTTCTTCCCACCTTGGGACACTTGCTAGACTGTGTCATCCATGTTTGAGTGTGAGAGCCCCACTTGCCTCTCTCCACGCTTCTTCCACAGCTCCTCACCTCGGTTTTTCTCGGGCTAGATCTCTGTCTCTACGGATCTCTGTGCTCCTGTGGACTTATTTTGTCATGGAAACCAGCGGCCTCTGTGGCCACCGTGGGCTCTGGCGAATTCAGCGTCCAGTTTCTTGGCAGCGGACAAGGATCGGGCCCAAGGAGAATGCCTGCTCCCCCCCCCCCGCCCCCAAATTCAGCATCCTCGCACCTCGCTCCTTGTCCGCTGTGGCGCGGGGTTGGGGACAGGGGGAGACGCGCGAAGAAGCACGCATACCAATGGTGGGGAGAGTCTGAGGGGGACAGCGATGCAGGGACCAAAAGAGAATGAGAAACAGAGAAAGAACGAGAGACGTAGAGAAAATTGAGAGAGAGGAAGAGACTCAGAGTCAAGGAAGAGCAAGCAGAAGCAAGAGAGCGAGCGCTAAAGCGGGACACCGGAAGAGAGCGGGGCAGAATGTCCCCGAGCCCTGAGACACAGCGCGGGACTGAGGAGAGACTGAAAGAGAGAGAGAGAGAGAGAGAGAGAGAGAGAGAGAGAGAGAGAGAGAGAGAACAAGGAAAGCAGTTGGGGAGCAGAGAAAGAAAGGAAGAGGAAAACCCCAGGGGGCTGGAGGGGCGCACGCGAAAGCGCGAGGGAGCGGGACAGCGTGAAGGTGACAGCGGGGCGGAGGTCCAGGCCGCCGCCCTGAGCCGCCGCCGTCGGGCTGCTGCAGACGGGGCGTCCGCGGCGCCGCGGAGCTCGGGGCTGGCTGCGCACGCATGGGGCCGCGGCGGCTGGAACAGAGCCGCGCCGCGCCGCTTGCTTACCTGTTGCTGCCGACGGCGTGGGCTGCGGGCGCTGCGTCCCTCGGGCTCGCCCCGCTGTTGTGGGGCGCTGCTCCAAGAGCGGGCGGCTTTGAGCTCCCCGGCACCAGGCGGCGTCCGCGGCGGGTGCGGGACACAGAGGCTGTGCCCGCACGTCCGACCCGCGCGCCGCGATGCGAGCTCTGAGCGGCGGCGGGGGCGCGCGGCGTCTTAAAGCTGCGCGCTGTCCTCACCTTGCGGCCCCCCCCTCGGCCCCCGCCCGCGCCGGTGACGCACGAGGCCACGGGCGCCCAGAGGAGCGGGGCTGGCGGGGGCGGCAGCGCGCGGCGCTGCAGCGGAACCCGTCGGATGTTCTCGCCCTGCGTCCCACCCCGAGCGCCCCAAGCTCACTAAGATCTTTGAAAGTGGGGACTGTCATCCGGATTGATTTTTGCGCAAAGCCAGTGCTTTGCTAGTCCAGGGATTTGGGGCCAGATTGCGGCCACAGAGCTGCACAACTGTTTCAAAGGGAGGGTTTAGACTCTGGCCTTGACTTCTGAAGACCCTCGAGGATGTACGAACTGTCCCTGAGCGCAAAAGAGGAATCCTCACTTTAGCATGAATGATTTTCCATGAATTTGTTAGCTCCCAGGCAGAGTTAAACAGCAACATCTTTCCTGTAGGTTTTGAGATCATTTCATAATTTCGTAGATGACAGGCTGCGTTGTTTTTTCTTTACCATATGATTTGATTGAAGTCTGTTATAACTCTCTCTGAACCCTCCCCCTCAAGTTGTTTACACGGAGAATACAACGGAATCCTTATGGCTTCCCCAGCCTGAGAAATATTACTAATATTTTTATTTTTATAGAGACAGAAGCAGAGGCCAAGAGAGTTTACTCTACTTGTCCAAGTTGGAATAAATAGTGTGCTAAGACATTGTATTGTTCTCCCTCAATATGTATTGAGTGCTTGGCACATATCAGGCCTGCAAGGCAACAGGACAGGAGGCACCCTCTCCCAGCTCCATCCTGTGCCCCAGGACAGGGAAGTGTCCAGGCAGAAGTCCCAGATAGGGTCATTTACATCGGGGTTCCACGGGAGGAGGAAGCTTTAACACAGGAGAGTGGAAAAGGGTGTTCTGTAGGAAGGAGTTGTGTCGACAGGTAGGGCACAGGAGCCAGCTGGGCAGAGTGGCTGCAGTCTGCTAAGCCAGGGGCTGATGCTGAGGGTGCTCCAATGCCAATCTGGGGACTTCGTGCTACAGGATGAGAGAGCTGTTGAAGATCTGTTTTGTTTTGAACAGCTTCAAAGATACACAAGTCTAATGAGGTCAATCAAATAAATGCCCATCCTGTTGCCACCACTCAAACTGAACAATGACATATTTTGGCGTTCTTATTCACTGATGATTGCACGTTGGGCAATGTGAGGAGGTTGTTTTCCCCCTTGGGGTCTCCCAGCAGGACTAGGGTGGGAGCCAGTGGGGTGTTGGATGGAGAAAGCAGGAAGGAGGCTGTAGGCAGATACAGGAGATGACTCTGAGCAGGCCACACAGAGAGAGGGCCAGCGCAGAGACTTAAAGAGAGACAAAATCGATGGTGGCCAGGAGCGGGGACCTGGAGGTGCTGAGGATAGTACATGGTGCGCACAGGATACTGAGGTGGTGCCAATCCTTGCTCTTCCCATCCCTGTCCTGGGCTGGGGAGGTGAGGCAAGTATATTTTCAGGCCCCAAGATGCTCTTTGGTTTCCAATCCCACTTACTCTTTATAGCGTTTGTCCCCCTCCCCCACCCACTAGGCCTGATTTTATCTTCCCAAGATTGAATGGTAAAAACCTGCTCATTTTTTCCTGAAGACAGTTTCCATGATAATCACTCACAGTTACTACTTCCCAGCTTCATGTTGGCCATGGTGCAGAATCCTGGGTGACATGCGCTGTCCAGTAGAGGTTGGTTCAGACTCAATTATTTTACAGTCAAGCTGTTAGAAGTAGTCACAGACAAAGTCCAAACCTTCTTGATCTTTTCTCCTTTCTTCATGGTTTTGAGAGTGCCCCAGGCTGCCAGGACCTAGTACAGGTCTGGAGAAAATGTCAAAGACAGGTGCCTCAGAAGGAGGGGCTCATGGAGTCTGCAGTTGCATTGAGCAGTAGTGTGTCAGGTGCTAAGGAGGCTGGTAGGGAGTGAGAGACCCTGGACAGGATGGGGCTTCTGCAGATGAGGCTGGGGTGTTTTGCTTGCAGAGATACTAGGAAAGCCAGAAAATGCCAGGACAGAAATGCAAACCACTATTCTTTATAGGAGAGGTTTGAAGGTAGCAGTTAATTCTCAGGTATTTTTTTTTGTACCCTCCAGACTAGCTGAGCTGATTTCCTTGAATTCTTCATTTCCCTTCTTCCTTTACCTTGCCTTCCCTTCTTTTCCCTTCCCTTCCTTTCCCTTTCCTTCTTCTCTCCTATTTTTTCCTCCTCTCCCCTCCCCTGCCCTGCCTTCCCTTCCTTTTCTCTTCCCCTCCCTCCCTCCCTCCCTCCCTCCCTCCCTCCCTTATTTCCTCTCTTTCTTTTTTGAAATACTGGGAATCAAACCCAGGGCCTTCACACTGAGCTATATCCCAACATTTTTAATTTTTAACATTGAGACAGAGTCCTGCTAAGTATCTAAGTTGCTCAGCCTGGGCTCAAATTTGCAATTCTCGTGCCTCAGCCTCTCAGAATGCTGGGATTATGAATTTAGGCTACCAGGACAGGCTGTCCTTGAATGTCAAAGAAATCTAAGTACCAACTCCCTAACTGGGAGTCCTCTTGGGGAATGTGGGTTTGACTTGGAGCCCTGTGGGCTTGGATTTTGATGGTTTGCCTGGCTAGGCAGGCATTTATACCACTGAGTTAAATCCCCAGCCCTGGGTTTTGAGGGTTTGGAAGAGCCCTTCAATTTAAAGTTTCATTAGATTCTGGAGAGGGACGAGATGGGGAGAACATGGCATGATGGCTCAAGAAGCTACCAATTCCCCAAAGCAAACATCACTATTCAGTATTAAAAACCTGCACCAAAAAAGACACCAAGTGATTTCCCTATTCTTATAATTCAGTGGCAGCAGAGGAAAGATTTGGCAAATGGTATCTACGGACCAGAGATGCAGGACAAGAAGCCAGTAACAAGAAAGAGCCCCGGGGCCAGATGACAATCGCAAGTTGTGCTCCAACTGATGTAGCAACAACCAGAGGAGGGAATTCGGAAGTCCTGGGACACAGCCAGGTATTGATTCCAGTCACTGACTTTGTCATGGTGGTGTTAGGGATTAAACCCAGGATATCACACGTGCTCTAAGCAAGTGCTCTACCAGTGAGCTACATCACCAGACCCAACACTGACATCTCTGAAGAATATTGACCAATTATGTTATGGAACTTCTTTTCTCTTTCCTCCTGATTAAATTCAAGGGATTTTTGGAGAGGAGAGGGGGTTTCTGGGGTCTCTATCCCTGAGTTACCTTCCCAGCCCTAGCCATTGGTTCTATTAATAATAGATGCAGAGGTCCTTGAGTGCCTACTATGTGCCAGAAACTATGCTTATTTTATTATATTTAAGCTTTGAGGAAACTTTGAGCTAAGGATTAATACTGTGGTTTTGAAATCCAAGACACCATATATACCAATAAGAAAGAAAGAAAAATTTAACCATCGTTCCACTTCTGGCAAGATACCTACTGATTTCAAAGATGCTAAAATGTGAAAAGGACATATACTTTAAGGTCAGTTTAAAACAGTGCCACTCCTGTGCTTACAGAGAGGTTAAGCAGCTTTTGCAAAATCACATAGCAAGAAAGTGTTGGAGTCAACAGTTAAAAGTTCTATCTGATTCCAAAGCAGGGGTTATTTCCTTGGCTGCTTTAAGAAGGTGTCCAGAGGCCAGATAGAAGGATTTTCTACTGTTCATTCCAGATAAAACTTGTGAAAAAAAAGATAAATGGGAACTAGAAATTACTAGGATTGTAGAGAGATGTAGTTGCAGTGGTCATGGCTTTGTTTTGTAGAGCACATGGTTCCCATCGATGGTGAAATCACTGAATCAGTCAATTCTAAGTCACACTCCTTCCTGCGTAGTAAGCTCAGAATATATCAGTAGGGCAAAATACATGGTCTTGCTCTGAAGTGCCTGTCCATGGGATGGTCTTAAAATGTTCAGTGTTATGAATTACTCTGACAGATACCACTTTAGGCCAACCTCTAGAGATGGTGCTTGTAAAACTCAACAGAAATAAAGTATTATCTGGGTGTGAGTTGACATGGCCCATTCAGCAGGTTTGTGCAGTACAGAAGGTCTGGATTCCAAAAGTAAATTACCCGAATAAATTGATTTGGGAGAAAAAAATAGTAGAACATATGAGTAGCTATGAATTTGAAATGTCGAGAAGGGTTGGTTTTTGTCTTAAGACCATGACTAACTTGCTATGTAACTTTGAGAATATCCTATCATTTCAGTTCTGTAATCCAGTAAATAAATCTGGCTAGGGGGAAGTGGACAGTAGGAGTGAAGATGTTAAGTAATCCCTAAGAATCCTGTTAGTCTATGATCTTTGGTCTTGTCTACTTTCTTGCTAGCTATTATGAAAAATCTCAAAACAAATCTGACCCAAATATTAAAAAATGCTAAGAGCTAGACTTTGCTCATATCTATGAAAGAGCAACAGAAACTGGATTTGACTTTCTACCTTCAACAGTTCAAAACATGGACAAAATATATAAAATAATTTGTCAGACATTGGAAAACATGTCTTATGGAGTAGTGATCTTTAAGAAAAGGAAAAAAATGAGACAACCCCTGAAATTGTCTTAGTTTATTACTAGGGAGAATTTCTAGACCTCTGCAGACCCCAGGAGTCTGCCTAAATTGAGATAGATTTCAGAATTCAAGGAGGAAAGTGTGGCCAGAATTTTCAGGACAAAGTACCAGAGAGGAGCTCCCCAGAGAGAAAGCACTGGTGCTCTGTAAAATGTTCCCCTCATTTCTTTGGCTATATGTTGATCAGCACATACGTGTGCTGATGCAAGACTGGGAAAAAACACTCAAAAGGGGTAAGAGGAACAAATTCTAGAGTTCACACAAAGGTGGGAATAGTTCAGTTTCCCAACAGTCAGAGAGAGAGAGAGAGAGAGAGAGAGAGAGAGAGAGAGAGAGAGAGAGAGAGAGAC